CAAACACATACAGTAAAAATGCCTGTTTTGAAGCCTTCAAATGGTGCAGGAAAAGGACTTTACATTTTATTATACTTAAAGACAGGGCTATTCAGTTAAGAGAAGAGAAAAAGGAAACAAATTGTTATAATGGGTGATGTAATGATACGATACGATATTACTTTATTTGTCAGATCAAGTCTGAAATTTGACTTGCGTCACAGCAGCTCCATGTCCAACATCAACAGACAAGTATCCAGACACAATACATGAAACCCAAACGACAAACATTTAACATAACAGCACAATCAGTGAGAGAAAAGCTGCTCAAAGAGCCTTCAGCGTGCATTTGATCTGGGATTTAGCTCTGTATAGCTATGTATACTGTGTTAAAAGCTCCCACCACTTTTTTGATTTTGAAACAATTTAATAGAGTCCTTCGTCACGCGGTCAATACGCCCTTGTAGTAGGTAGTAATAAGTAGTAACAACGTTGATGCTAATGTCACCTAATGATGTGGTATTTCCCAACACAGGTGGACTCTCCTGCCCTGGTGGCCAAATCCCGTCCGGGCAGAAAGAGGAAATCCGAACAGGAACTTCCGACCCCACCACAGACCGCCCCCAAGAAACGGGGAAGGAAACCAGCCTCAGCCTCAGTAGCGCCATCCGTTGCGGCAATATCCACCTCCACTCCCTCAACTTCTGTTAGCGCAACAGTTGGGAGCTACGCTGCAGCTGCCATTTTAGCCGCAGAGGCTAAACGGAGAGCAGCAAAGGAGTCTTCCAGCAAACATTTCGTCCAGGAAACAGCCCTGCCAATCAAAAAACGTAAAACGAGAGAGACAGTGGAGGAGAGGGAAATTGTTCAAACTCCATCAGCTTCAATAACTGATACTGTAAAGGGGGAGGCAAGTAAAGGGGAGGAAGCTCCGCCAAAACCTCAGCCTACCCCTTCTGAGCAGAGCCAGTCACAATCACAGAAACAACCATCTGCTTCAGAAGAAAGTCAACCACACGGACACAAGGCGCATAAAGGAAAGAAGCACAAGGAGAAAACAGGAATAGCAGCTGGAGAAGGCAGAAGCAGAGGAGAGGAATTATACGAAGATATAAGTGATAAAGGAGGAGAGGAAGAAACTGGAGAAAGAAGTAGCAGCAGCAGTAGTAGCATTAGCCCATCAAAAAGTCACAAACGGAAGGACCGCCCACCTCACAAACACCACCATCATCACCACCACCACCACCATCATCACCGCCACCAACATCCCTCTGCCTCCAGTTTGGATCAGCCTCTTTCTCCAGGCTCCGGACATCCAGCAGCCTCCAGCCAGTCAAAGGCTGAAGTCAAGCCCCAGGTTGTACCTCAGCTCTCCACACAACAAGTGCATCACACTCATGAAGCTCCTCCGAAACCACAATCCAAGTCTGAACCTCGACAGACTCCCCCTCAACCCAGTTCCCAGGAGCATCTTCAGAGCCAGTCTCCCACTCAGACACAAGCCAAGCCAAGATACCACGCTCCTCAGCCCTCTCCTACCAGTAATGTCTTGCCCCAGCCACGGTCCCAACTGCCCCCTCCCCAAACTCACAGTCAGAGCCAGGCTTCATCGCAAAAAGGCCAGTCACATCCTGTCCACTCCCCAGCCAAACACCAATCCCAGCTTCAGACTCCACCTCAGACACACCTTCCTCAAACAAGGCCTCCACATCCACAGACCCAGTCTCCCACTGTACTCCAACCTCAAACCCAGCCCAGGCACCCGTCTCAACTCCAAACACAGCTCAAACAACAACCCCAGCTGCGGCAGTCACTGCAGTCTCATCTCCAACTCCAACCCCCGACCCGAACCCCAGCCCAGCTTCAGACGCAACAGCAACACAGAACCCCGGCCCAAATTCCGCCTCAATCCCAACCCAGGACCCGACCTCCACCTCAGCCCCATTCCAGATCTCCATCCCAAACTCCACCTCCACCCCAGTCCAGGACCCAAGCCCAAACTCCAAATCAACCACAATCCAGGGGTCCTGCTCCACTTCCAAATCAACCCCAATCTAGGAGCCTTGCCCAAACACAACATCAACCCCAATCCAGGACCCCTGCCCAAACTTTGCCTCCACCCCAGACATCAGTCCAACCTCACCTGCAACAAAGGCATCAAATGCAGCCCCAATCCCTGACGAGGCAGCCATCGCAACAACTCCAGACCCAACAAAGACAGCAAGCCAGACAGTCTCTCTCACAGCCTACGCCACCCCCGGCTCAGTCCCAAGCACAACCACACTTTCAACGGATTCAAACACAGCCACGCCCACAGCCCCAGCTCACCAGGCCCAATGTGCAGCACCTCTCATCCCACCGACCATCTCCAAGCCTAACCAGGACCAACCCGGCTCAGCAGAATCAGGGCGAACAGCCCCAAGATCTGAGCACCACACGGCCTAGTCGAGGAGGCCTTTTGCCAAGCCGAGAGGTCAGAGATGAAGGCGTCAAGGCGGAAGGAAGACGGGATCCGGCATCAGAAAGCAGAGAGGTTTCAAGAGGAGACCGAGGTTCAAACAGCAACTCAAGGCCTTCAAGCTCCCTTCCTCCTCGACCTACAGGAGCATCTGGAGCCGGAGTTGGCCTTGTTACTGGAGCAGATGGAAGGGCGAGGCTTCGGGCTGAACCAGAGGCAGCAGGGGATGACAGGGAGCTCAGAGACATCGTCCCCCAGTCCGCGGTCCCATGTCCCAGCCGAGAAGAAACCGTAGAGTCACGGACTGCCGTCAGCGAAAGAGTCAGCTGATCAGTTGGGCTGATGACCGGGACGACTGATCGGTGGACTCGCGTACTGAGTCGGCACCAGAAGGAAAAGGAGTGTGACACGGTTGTTCACGGAGTTTTAATGATTGTTACACTGTTTTCAGATAACGAAGGATAACGTCAGAGCTGGTAGGACTGTTGGAGTCTCTACTCCGTCTGATTCTGTCTGGAGACTCTGCAAAGTTCTGGATTTGAGAACCAACCTGACGCTCAAGGGCAGCTGGAGAGGAGAGCGGACGGTGTCTTTTTCTAGGAAAATCAAACAAAGAGGAAAAACCAGAAAAAAAAGTTTGTGTGTAAATATAATCAAAAGGCAGCTGTTGTGTCCCGCTAGTCTCCAAGGGGGGAGGGGGGGGGGAGTAGTTTGGAAAAACCAACGCTTAACAACACATTACTCTGAAGGAAATGTTGCTTCCGGAATATAACCTGTTTTTTTTTTATTTCGTATTATGATAGTTTATTGTTTTGTCTCTGTTATACAGCTTTACACTCTGATATTATTGACTGATAGTCCCTTACTCATCGCCGTGCTGCTGACTGACAGTCCCTTATTTAAAGTCCTGCTTTTTAACTGACGGTGACTCCTTCTATTGACTGAAAGTCCCTTACTGAAACTAGTCCTTGACTGAAATCCTCAGAGGTGATGTGGGGGCGGTGGTTTGCACCTTAAACTGGTTTCTTAGAAATCTACCATATTTTTTGTAATCACCATTTTCCATTTGGCCCGCGATAAACAAAGGTGTGGGGTCTGTAATGTTTTCCATCCACTTCCAGAATGCCCCCTACAGGAAGCAAATCTGACGTATGTATTAAGACTTGTGACCCACACAGACCTCACTCTGGACTGAGTCTTTGAAACGCATTTTGAATATTGTTTAAAATATTTGAATAACTTTAGGAGTTCTTGTAAAACAGCCGTTCCAAGTCAGTTATTTGATAAGCAAATCTCGAGAGCTCCTAATTTGGTTATAAAGTATTTCAAACCCACCGAGATGTTCTTCCAGGTTAGAGATTCTTCCATTTAGGTCTTCATTGAATTGGTTTGTTTTGGTAGTGTTTTTGTTTCCAAAGGAAGCGCTTTTAATATCAAACCAAACCCACTTTTACAGTAGCTCTATTTTAGTTTGTACTCTTCATGAAATGAGTGGGAAAAAGGAGAAATTGTGTCATCGTGTTGAATGTCTGGAACAGTTTGCAACCCCTCCAGTTTATACAATCAACCGCCTGCATGTCGCTAGGAGACTTTGCAGGCCATCAACTGGAGTCGCAACATATGCAGAGGTCGACCTCGTTAGGTTTTTACTGTTGGACATGATGGCGTTCTTCGGGAAGTTGAACCCTGAACGAGGTCTGGTCATGTGGAGACACAACATTCAGTGAGCAGACAGCAACCTTTGAGTCTGAAATTCCAGATTTGAGAGCAAAAAGAAGGAGATATTTCTAAGAGTGGAAGGAGTCATTTCCAAGGACTTAACATAGAGACCACCTGATTAACAACCTGAAGCAATTTGGTTGATATTCTTAACTATCTTAATTTGATTTAACAGTTGGTGAACATGGGGAGTGGGTGTCAATAAAAAAAAATAAAAAAATTCTAATCACATTTAAGATGTACTGACAGAATCATAAGCTTCTAATCAAACATTGCTCCAGACATTTTTGAGAAGTTTTCTTAGTGCCTTTTGTGTTTAGACAACTCATCTTTAAATGGGTTCGACTTGAATGTCACTTGTTGGGCTTATGCAGTGTTCTTATCTGTCTAAACGACTTTGACTTTAAACCATAGGCTGTATGAAATATGGATATGGTTTCTAATATCATCCATGGGTTTCTGAAGAGTATAACTCCTGGCTAATTTACAACTGGGCATCAATGTAATTGAGGCGGGCCCGAAGCAGAGCAGACAGTTAGACATGGATGGATATTGAGAAATGGATAAAGTGTTGGATTCAGGGCTTCATTCGTTCCTATGAAATGTTCTCGGTTGCACGGGAAGTCAAAATGGCCTTACTTTGGAGAACTAAAATACCTGGACTTTCTGGCGATCTTTAAACCCCGTCTCCTAGCCGATATATCGTAGACGTTCGGTCTTGGCAAAGTCAAATTAATGCATTTTAGCGCGTTTTACAGCTTGTAGACCTAAAATAATTGATTTACAGATGTCTCTTTCTGAATGTAAGTCAATGGGATCAAATCTTTTTCGGCCGATGGCTTCACGTAATTGACACAGTTGTTGTTGTTGACGTTGTTGCCTCAAGTGGCCATTTGAGGAACTGCAGTTGTTGGCACTTCCACTTAGGATTCCCTGCACATGCTTTTGACGATAATCTGACAGTCAGATATGGACGTGTCCTATTAAAGCATGAATGTAATATAAGGACTGGATATCAAAGATATGTCGCCCAAGTTCCTTAAAATAAAATAGCATGTTAGCTTCTGGGCTTGATCCACATCATAGATCTATCTGCACATGCTCAGTAGAGTTTCTCTCCCTGGCCCATTGAGATTTTCCGCAAAGAAAATTAGCCTTTCTGATAAAGTTTGTCGAATAAACAATAATGTAAAATGTTATTTCTCAGCAACTTTCACTTCAACTCACCTTTAATTAAGCTCTGTTACTGGATGTGTATTAGTGAAATGCACCCTGGGAGTGGTGGTAGATGGTAGAGTTGTGTATTGTGTAGGATATTCTATTTTAGCTTGTTTGTTTATTATTCAATGTAGGCTATCAATGAGGAGAATATACATTATATAGCACATTATACTTTTTAAATTGTACTTTATGCCAATTCTTATTTAAAATGTAGAAATATATGCCACCTTATCTTGGGCGCCTGACATCCCCTTCTCTCTTAAAGCACTTAATGTCACACTTTATTTCACCTTGGCTGTAACGATACAAACGGCAGAATCAAAGAAAATTTATGTTTTAATTAACCTGAAACAGACGTGTTGCAATGCCCTGCCGTGCATCTCAGCCAAGATTTCAATTCAATAATCTCCAGAGAATTCTTGTAGGTTTTCTGCTGAAACAACTCCTAAAACAAGGGGAAGTTTCGTGACTGTCTCCTGAGCTCTCAAATCTGAACATACAGACACTGAATGTTAATGCTCTCTCAATAGATTTGCCATCAAGAAATCTAAAAGTTTTGCACCTTATTCTTCACATGAAGGCTCCTGCACTTTAACAATGATATCGGGAAAATTGAGCTCTTCGACCCTCAAACAAGCGGGAAAACCCCCCCCCTGAATGTCTTCAACCTGGATCCGATAAATGTGCCTCGTTCTCTAAAGTCCTCTCACCTGATGTTTGTTGTCTCCACCTGAAGCCTCACCTCTGCGTACTTGACGCTCCGCCTGCCGCCCAGTTATAGCATGCTGTCTCTCACGCAGCTGCATAAATCAAACGCCCCTCTGTTTACGGACCCCCTCCACAGGACCCGACCCGGCACAACCCTACAGTAACCAGCCACCATATTGCATGTTCCAGAGTTTAGTGCCTATAATATTGTGCGTCTTGCCAGAAGCCACCATGTCGAGCCAAGCCATGTTGTGTTTCTAGACTTAGTAGTGATGTGTGTGGTGACTTCATAGTTGCTAATATTGAGGATGAATATTCTGCTTTTACTCTGGTTGGAATTAAGTGGAAACTCCAATACAATGTCGCTGTAGACAAAACTAGTTTTTACCTGTTTTCTTATTTTTTCTTTCTAACTAAAAGCGTTTGTTGTCCCCTGATCTGTGGTCGTCTGACTGATTGTAGCTCAACACACACACACACACACAAACAGGTGGAAATTAACTAAGTACATTTGCTTGTGTATTTTTGTTTTTTGTTCTATTTCTACTCCACTTATTGGATATTTAACTTTGTATTCAACTGTTTTTCATCCCATACCTGCAGTAAAAACCCTTAATGCAGCAGTAATCATATTCAGAAGAGTTCATAAACATTTTGTATATTATAATGAAACACTGACAGGGAACCTGTACTGCTCAATGAGTACTTTCAAAACTGTAAGTATATTTTGCACAAAGGAAAAACAACATGAGATTTTGTTCTGAAAGAAAACTAAATTACTCCAAAGATATGTAAAGGTATGACTTTACATACTTCACATCCCATGATGCACTGCTGCCACCTGCTGGCTGTCACGAGATCATTCCGAGTCTGCGCAGTTGAATGATCACGTCTGAATAAGGGGATGAATGTGATTTTAATTCAAATGTGATTCTTCATGTGTAATAAGACTTAACATTTTGATATTATTAAAACAAATATTTTTTTAATCAGCGTCAATTAAACGGAAACAATTTTACCATTTCTATTATATGTGTTTATTTAGTTAAAGAGCACTTTTCATAAACAAAAGGTAACAATTAAGAAAATGATACTAATACAAAACATAACAACCCCCTACAATCCATCAAGAGAGCTAGACATAAGTTATCTATTATAACTATAACTATACGTACTTCACCAAAATAATTAATAAAAACACTAAAATTAAGTGTAAAGAAAAATGTTGACAGATGCTTTTTCTAATGAAATAATAAAAACAAAACCTCGTGACCTCTCGCTGACCTCTGACCGGGTACAATTCCAGTTCTCTGATTGGCTGAGCCTCAGACAGGTGAAGATGGCAGCTCAGGTGCTCATGCTGCTGCTGCTGCTGCTGGGCGGCTCGGTGCTCCTCGCGCTCTACCCCCCCGGATCCGGTCCGGACTCTGATGCGCGAGGCATGGCGGAGCTGCGGCGCGTGCAGAGCCTCGCGACTCAGCCCAGGTACGGAGGGTGCTGGGTGCGAGCTCTGGACAACCTGGACACGCGCTGCACGGACATGACGTCAGAGAGCCAGAGCCGCATCGCGCTGAGCTTCACCTTCTGTCACCTGAGCAGGTAAGTCAGTCAGCAGGCTCTAAACGAGGGGTTTATGCATAATCTGATTTGATCTTAATTATTCTTATAGATATTAAATAACCTGAAGGACATGAGATAAGTTTCCTGGATGAACACTTCCCGTTTGACCTTCCATTTCTCATCACATGCTAAATTGATGTGGCTTATTTGAAGCTAATGTACCTGCAGTTGGTGTATTTCACTTATTGTAAGTCAATTTGGATGGAAGCGTAATGAAATGTTATGCTCGTTAAATTGGGAAGTGTGCAGATTTAACTGTCATTAATATTTCAGACATTGAGGGATTTTTTTCTATATTGAATATTATTCAAACTATATTCTCTTTCCTCATACTGTGAGAATCCTGAACACGACCTCTAAACTCTTTCTGCTGTTTTTCCTTTTTCGTCTTATTTGCAAAAAATAGTCTCATGACTGAATTTCATTGCACAATTCTGTATCTGTTACATTGACAGTAAATGATTTCTGTCTGTCAGCTCGGGCAGGGATTTCCCATCATGCCCCGAGGGGTCGGAGGTCAGCAGCTGTACAGGGGCGATGGACGCCGTGGCCTTCAACGCCTACACTGAGTTCTTCACACACACACACTCCATCTGTCAACACCTGCAGTCTGAAGCCTGGCAGAGCCGAGCGGAAAACACCATGTTCAGGTGAGACTCCAGGAACATTAACACAGGTGTTTGTGTCGAGCAGCGGACTTAACACACATCTGACCAGAGGTGGGAAGTAGTGGAGTACAAATACTTTGTTACTGTACTTAAGTACATTTTTCTGGTATCAGTACTTTACTCCACTACTTATTTTACTTTGGCTTCTTACATTTTGAACACAAATTCCTGTACTTTCTACTTCTTACATTTTGAACACAAATACCTGCACTTTATACTTCTTACATTTTGAATACAAATACCTGTACTTTATACTTCTTACATTTTGAATACAAATACCTGTACTTTATACTTCTTACATTTTGAACACAAATACCTGTACTTTATACTTCTTACATTTTGAACACAAATACCTGTACTTTCTACTTCTTACATTTTGAACACAAATACCTGTACTTTCTACTTCTTACATTTTGAACCCAAATACCTGTACTTTCTACTTCTTACATTTTGAACACAAATACCTGTACTATCTACTTCTTACATGTTGAACACAAATACCTGTACTTTCTACTTCTTACATGTTGAACACAAATACCTGTACTTTCTACTTCTCACATTTTCCAAACAGGCTGGTTCCTTTAGTCTGAATGTGTGTTTGGTGGCGTGATCATTATTATTTAGAGTCATTGCGTGCCTATTGATTTGAACAAGATCTGTGTATCCATCATTTCCTGGTCTTCTCTAAAGAAGAGGGACCAATGAAAACGTTGTCAAGTTGCCGTTGTTCACCATGGAAACATTCATTAGCTAACAATGACATTATTGTTCTATTAATATAAAGGGAGGTCAGGTACTCTTTAAAACAGCTGCTAGCTATGGGTACTTTTTACTGAAGTACATTTCAAAGCCCTCTTTACTTTTACTTGAGTAAAGAAGTTTAGTCAGTACTTCTACTTTCACCAGAGTATTTTTAAAAAGGAGTATCTGAACTTCTACT